AACTCTGCTCTTCGGAGCATCTTTGGAGCTGCAGAGCGGCTCAGGAACATCTGTTCGCATTTCACTGGCCGTAGTCAGCATAACTGCAATAGCACCATCTGGAAAATACGGGCAGGCAAGTTACAAACCTATTTTTTTAATGTGGACTGGTATTGAATGATACCCTTTGCTAAGCCCAGGGAGCAGCTCCAGGAGGGCCTGCTAATTCAAGACCACTGTCGACCTTCTGCGTCCACCCTGGAGGAGGGGAAAAGGCTGACAAACCCTCTTCTGTGCTGCTTTTGTTTTATTGTATTAGGCCCATAAAGGCACTTTCAGGGCCCATCTTTCTTCGGCAGAAAGGAAAAGCAATGGGGAAACAGGGAAGAGGAGGACATGGCAAAAAAGACAGGCGGAGCTCTAGCTCCATTTGTTTTCAGCGTCTGTTGATTAATAGGTTTTCAGGTGAATGAGGAGCTCTCGCTCTCATTCCTCTCCCGTTACCCGTAGCGGAGGAAGGGCAGGGGGGCCCGGGGTGCAGGTGCCTTGGTCAGTCGCTCCCATGCCACGTTCCCGATTGCGGGTGGTTGGGGGGGTGCCCGGCGGGCAGCAGCGCATCCCTCTGCCTCGCAAGCAGGACTCGAGGCTGTAAGTGCAGTTAAAAGGTCGCTGGGGTCGGGGGTCCCTCCCTGGCTGTGGGAGCGGTGCCGGTGGCCATCAGAGCTCCAGGCTGTGCTGGGGCAGGAGCATCCCCCCTGTCCTGCCCGTGGCTGCTCGGCCGGGGATGCGGCACAGCGGGGTCTCCCGCCGGCCCTTCGTCTGAGGGCTTGTTTTCAGCCTGGGTGGCTTTTCTAGCGGACCTGCTTTTACTAAAACCACGTTATCCCGACAAGGACAAATCCTCCGGCCTCTCTGGCATGTTTTTCTCTGACTTTGAGCGGATACCATGTTTTTATTACCAAAGCCAAACAAGCTATGAATTTGCAAACAGAAACTGCAGTAACAAACTCTTCCTATTTAAAGGTTGGTTTCTCTTTATGTGCTCGACAATACAATGTTTCATCTCGTGCAAGTCTTACATTGCTTTCAGAGACTTAGGAACTATTGATTTATACAGCATGTATTAACTTCTTCAATAAATGGGGAGTATTCATCAGTGGGGTGTATTAAATTGGGCTGTATACGCACAGAAGCATCTTTCATCCTGTTAATGAAATGTCCTTACCATGCAACAAAGACTAATACACAGCAATTTATACGCACAATCCCCTGTAGTTGAAATCTGAAGTTCAGATTTTTTCTGCTGTTCCCTGAAGGCACTTATCAGAACTTAGGCTAAATGGATCTCAGTATCCCTCTCTCAAACATATATCAGTCCAAAATTTGTTGTGGTTTTGGGTTTTGGTTTTTTTTTTTCATTCCAGAGCTCCATTATTGTTTAAAGTCATCTGTGTTTAAGCACTCCCAGAAGCATTTCAAATTCATATAGAGATTTAGTAGTTGAGTCCCTGTGGGGACAATTTCCTCTGGTTTGCTTCAGGCAGGGGTTATCGAGAAAAGCAAACTTCTGTTGTTTTTTTGCAATTCTTTGCCGTGCCCTCTAACCCAGCATATGAGACCCCGGCTTTCGGTGGAGAGGGGTGATTTATCAGCAGATGACTTGGTGCTTTGTAGATGCTGGGATTTCTCTCCAGAAATCTCCACTTGTTCCCATGCTGTTACCGCATGCCCTGATGCTAATCTGTGCAGAGCAGTACAGCTGCCCTTCCCGTGCCTGACTGGCCATAAATGGAGTTCTTCAACTTGCCAGAGAAATTCCTGCATCTCACAATGGCTTTTAGCTTAAAACTACCCTTGATAAAGTGCTGGCAAATGTGTATTGGAGAAGGGCCTTTTGCAGGGGGATGGCGAAGGTCATCTAATAGATGTCTCCTGTTGATGGCTGCTGTGGTTTACCTTTCACTGCCAGTGGATGGGGTTAGGACCACACTTGTTACTCAGGCAGAGCTCCCATTGCCTTCAAAGGAAGATGCATGTGCGGGATTAATCCTGCTCTTGCCCAGCTAGTCCTTTCTTTTTCTCTTTTGCAAGGAAGCTTAGTTAACTTCAGGAACGCTGCTTTTAAAGAGCAGCTTATTTGGCATATTATGCATGATTAGCTTGGCTTGCAAATTGTGCGCGCTGTTCTGAGCGCAGTTAACGCTCCCTTTTCCCAGTGCGGCACAAACAGTGCAAACCCAGTCCGGGGTAGTGATTCCGGTGCAGGCTGATTTGCAAGGGCAGTGGATCACACTCCTCTGTCCCCGACAGCACATTTTTGAGCATGTAGATGACAGTTTCCCCTTTTCCCCCAGTACATTCTCCCTGCACCTCTTCTCCAGCACCATCAGAGTGGCAAGAAAGTATCCTACCCTCACATCCAGTGCCTTTGTGTGAATTGTCTGTCTGACTGCAGGGCAGTCGCCCAGTACAAATGGCTTACCCGGGGAAAAGTTGGCAGACTGAGATTCAAACTCGTGGTTGTTGATTTTTAGTTTATTTTTTCCTTTTTGCTTTTTATTTTCCTCTGAAAGGTATTAAGTAAAATACATAATAATTTAGCACTTGGGCCGTTTTGTGGAGATACTGCGGAGGGTCTTGGTATATCAAAGCAGTGGCTGGTAGTTTCCCACAGTTTACATGTAACCCCCCTGTGGTATATCTGGCTTTGGTGATACAGGCAGGTAAGTCCAGCTTCCCTCTCGCGTGTTGTTTCTTGTTTGCCAGCTTAAATCTGACCCTTGAATGTTATTCTGTCACTTGTGTTTTTAACTAACCAGTTCCAATAGCTATGAAAATAAGCTCTCCACGGAAGGCAACCCTCAGTGTCTGTCAGGAACTGGGTGAGGTTTTTTGCAGTGACGTGAAGATGGAGTTGGGAGAGCACAGAGCTACAGCAGCTACCAGCCACACTGAGTCACCTGGTAGCAAGAGTTCACACAATACTTGGCCAGAAAAAATCCCTCTTACTGGGAATGTTTTTTTTTTTTTTTGTGAACTGGATCAAGGGGTCATGTGGCATCGAACGCCTTGTGTTGTTGAGTAGATGCCTGCTCGTTTGCCTGGTGTGTAATACGACATGTTACATGAAGCCCTTGCCAAACCTTTCAGGTACTTTCGGACTGCTTAGGCTGGCTCACTGGCAGAGAACAAATTTTGGGTTAGAGCATCGTCTTCGGCTTTTTGAATTAAGGGACTGAATCCCCGTAGCTCCTCTGATGTGAAACCATTATGGAGCTGCGTGGCCAAAAGTTGTCCTTGGTTGTGCAGCTGGCAGAAGACCTGACCTGCCACCCAGCCAACACAACATGCTGTAATTCATATCATAGCGTTGGCTGTCGCGACATGGTGGCCGCTTGACATGGGACTCTCGTGCGCCACGCCTGTGTTATGAGAGGGGAATTGTTCCGTCTAGGGGCTGCAAAAAGAAATAAACACGGTGAAAGTTGTGGGAAGCATAAGCACTGCTCTTTCTTTTGCTT